CAAGTGGGACTACATCAAACTAAAAAGCTTGTGTATGGCAAAGGACACCATCAACAGAACAAAAAGGCATCCTACATTATAGGAGAATATATTTGTAAATGACATATCTGACAAGGGGCAAACATCCAAAATATATAAAGAACTTACACGCCTCAACACCCAAAAAGTAAATAACCCATTAAAAAATGGGCAGAGGATATGAAGAGACAATTCTCCAAAGAAGAAATTCAGATGGCCAAAAGACACATGAAAAGATGCTCCACATCACTAATCATCAGAGAAATGCAAATTAAAACCACAATGAAATATCACCTCACACCACTAAGGATGGCCAACATCAAAAAGACTAAGAACAACAAATGTTGGCAATGATGTGAAAAAAGGGGAACCCTCCTACACTGCTGGTGGGAATGTAAGCTAGTTCAACCATTGTGGAAAGCAATATGGAAGTTCCTCAAAAAACTAAAAATAGAAATACCATTTGACCCGGGAATCCCACTCCTTGGAATTTACCCAAAGAATACAATTTCTCAGATTCAAAAAGACATATGCACCCCTATGTTTATTGCAGCACTATTTACAATAGCCAAGATATGGAAGCAACCTAAGTGTCCATCAGTAGATGAATGGATAAAGAAGATGTACATATACACAATGGAATATTATTCAACCATAAGAAAGAAAGAAATCCTACCATTTGCAACAACATGAATGGAGCTGGAGGGTATTATGCTCAGTGAAATAAGTCAGGCAGAGAAAGACAAATACCAAATGATTTCCCTTATTTGTGGCACATACAATGAAGAAAAACTGAAGGAACAAAACAGCAGTAGACTCACAGACTCCAAGAAGGGACTAGCAGTTACCAAAGGGGAGGGGTGTGGGAGGGTGGGAGAAGGGGATTGAGGGGTACTATGTTTAGTACACATGCTGTGGGGGATCATGGGGAAGACAGTGTAGCACAGAGAAGGCAAATAGTGAATCTGTGGCATCTTACTACACTGATGGACAGTGACTGCAATGGAGTATGGGTGGGGACTCGATAATATGGGGGTAAATGTAGTAACCATATTGTTTTTTCATGTGAAACCTTCATAAGAGTGTATATTAATAATACCTTAATAATAAATAAATAAATAAAAGGGTGGTACTTGAATGCTGGTCATTCATCATGCCAGACTTAACCACAATACCCATCTTACCTAAACATCAACCTGCATAGTTTTGAGTCTCAGAAAACTTTCACTGGGGACCCCTTACCCCCGACCCCCCATTCACCTTACCTCTTTCTTCTTATCTTTCTCCTTCTCTCTCAGGACTCGTCCCTGGTCTCTCACTGGAGACACCGGGCTCTCCCTGAAGTTTGCCCTTAGAGCAATGAGAGCTCTGACTTTATCAGGATGCAAGGCTGCTAAGCCCCCTGGCATAAGGTCCTGAACAATCTGGCCCCCACTCCCACCTACACCTTCACCTCTCTCACATCAGTCATCTCTCACGCTGCATGAGCTGTTCTTTTTGCCTGGACTCATCTTCCCCCAAGTAGCTGCATGGGCTCATTCCCTCACCTGTATGTGTTTTGGTGTTTATATAGTATTATCCTTGAATTTTCCTTTAGGATAGTAAAGTGTACTATAAAATGTTTGTTACAAAAGAGAGGCAATGGTTCTCACAGGCCTGAGGACCCCTGTGTACTGTGATTGCTTTCTCTCACTAAATTGGAAACTCTGGGAGGTCAAGGACTGAGTCAAAGCACGTTTGCTGAAATGAAATCAATGAACACACGAGGAGGCTATAGAGGCCTCAGGGGCAGGAGGCCAGGGGCAGAGGCAGTGCGCAGCTTTGCTCCCTTGCCTGGTGATAGGTGAGCCGCACTCTTGGCAGTGTGCGCAGGGGCCTGACTGGGAGGCGGTAAGGATGTGTTCTCCAGCCAGGCCTAGGTGTAGCTAGGGGTCAGGGAAGGGCAGGGCAAGGGGCTGCCTGCTCCCCGCGTCAGCAACACCACCCCCCACCGCCTCTCTCCAGAAGCCCAGCCACTCGCCATACTGGCTATAAAGGCTACTGGCCCCACAAAGACCAAAAAGCCCATAGTGGTTCCATGTACCAAGGAGACTCAGGGCTTCACTGTGGGGAAGGGAAAGAGCCCCTGAGGGTAAGAGTCCAAGGCCTGGGCTAGAATCTTACAATCATAGGCAAGCCACCTCGGCCTCTCTGCACTTGTAAGCCAGGGTCACTCACACGGACCCAGCCCCCAGCCCTGTGGTGAGAACCAAATTGACAGTCAACATGAGTCCTGGGCAGCTGTGAGAACTATGCAAATGGTGATCAGTATTACACAGAATAATAGTTTTACTGCCAAGCACCAGGAGCTCTTGGGTGATTCAGAGGCCCTTCAGGAGTTTAAGCTCATCATTGTCAACATCAAGTACCACTGAATAGTGTTTTGGATCACATTCTGATTGTGGGAACTTTCTTGGCATTTAAATTTTAGATGAGCGAAGCTTTTCCGTAAGCTATCAAAGCATGCTGGTGACCCTCTGGGGACCACCCGAAATCCTTTACCGGTCCCCGCCTGCCCACGCTGTCCCCACGGATGAAAGGAGCGTGTGCCTACTTCGGCAGAATGTGTTCTGAGGAGCAGGAAAGCCCTGCTCTGGTGAAAAGCCGGCCCTCAGGCCCCACCCTCTTCCTTTGATCCTCCCCCAGAATGCCGAGCTGGAATGGCAGAAGCAAAGCCGTTCAGATGTAATTATTTTAATTCAGCCAGATGCTGGGAATTAGTCTCTTTTCCTTGCAAGTATTCTAGGGAAAGACAGACCTCAGCCAAAGATACCCCAAAAGAAACGATGCTTGACAATCTCAGGAGGAAAGGAGGGAGCCCCCGCCACCACCACCCCCACCACCCCCACCACCCCGCCGCTGGGCGCGCCGGAACGGCTTAAATCAAGGAAACAGCAGCCATCCCTGAAGGAAGGGAAGGGAGGAGAGGGGAAGGAGGAGGGAGGTTCCTGATAGAGATATTAAATGCAGACTGTTTACCAATCCTGGAAAACTAGACAAATAACAGCACCCAACACTGTCTAGAGCTTTAGATTTTCCAAAGAACTTTCACATACATTACCTTATTTAATTTTAAACTAGGGAGGAAGTGACAGGATGAGCTAGACACTTGGGGGCAAATTGAATTTAGGCTTCAAGGAATTCAGATTCACTCTTTCTCAGGCACCCACTAAGAGTCAGGTGCCAGTTAGGCAGTCGCCTTGATGATCTCCTTTAGTCCTTGCAGCAACTTTACCAGACCCAATATACAGGTGGAGAAACTGAGGCTCGGGGAGGTTTAGTCCTGCTGTCAAATTCCTCCAGAAACTAGGAGCGGTTGTGTATGAATAGATTGCAGAGCTGGGGACACCACAGCCTAGTGGTTCAAGACTCTAACTCTAGAAACTGATTAGATTGCCTGGGTTCAAATTTCATTTAATCAGTGGCTGTGTAGCTTTGGGCAGGTCACTTAACCACTCTGTAAAATGAAGACCATAATACATCGGATATTATAATACATCATACTATATATTACACTACACATTATAATACCTCAGATAAATGAGGCAATACATGTAAACCACTTAGCACAGTGCTGGCTCAGAATAATGCTCAATGTTGGCTAACATTTATACCTCTGTAGCAGCAGTTATCAAAGTATGGACCAGGAACCTCAGGGGGCCCCATGAGGCCAAAGCTATTTTCATAATAATACTAATTAGGTGCAGAGTTTTCTAGAAGTTACCTGACAGTGATACCAGAACAGAATGACTGCAGAAGCAGATAGGAGAATCCAGCTCTCTTCTGTTAAGCCATTCAAGAGATTTACAAAAATGTAAAACAAGGCCATGCTTCTCATTAAATGACTTTTGTTTCAGAAAATATAGTTATTTTTCAAAAAATATGTTATTTATGTTAACCTGTAACAGGTTAAGCTATTGTTGTTTGAAAATGAATTCACACATAATTTTTTAAATATTGTTTTAATTTCTAATATGGTAATATTGATAGCTGATGGACAACTTACACTGACTTCCCAGGAAGAAAAACAAGAAAAATCTTATTTCTCCTAGTCCCTCCCAGATCCTCTAACCTGAGCTGGATGCAGCTCAGCAGAAAGCTAGGTTCCCAGGTTACCCCAGGCTTGGTTTTGTGCTCACACTTCATTTCCTCATCCGTAAAATGGGAATGACAATAGTACCTACCTTTTAGGATTGTTGTCAGGAGTAGCGATAACTTAAGTAAAATGCCCATCACTTGACAAATGGTAATTATCATCATTACTATATTTTATTATTAATATTAGCCTTCAGGTCCTCTGAGTCCCTTCAGCGTCTCCATTTCCTGCTTCCCCACAGTCCCACAAAAGAAGCAGGACCTGGAATTGCAGAAGCTGCCTGGGATCGCAGACTCTGGCTTCGTATCACTCACTCACTCACTCACTCACTCACTCACTCACTCACTCACTCACTCACTCCAGCCATGCACTCTCACTCCTTCAATCCCATGCAGGGGTGTCACGCTACTCCAGAGCCAGAAGTGAAAAATGACAATTAAATGCCAAGTGCCAAGGCTCCAAGACTGAAAAGGTCCCTCTGCTGCCAGCGCTGGTGCCAAGGCAGGCTAGGCTCAAGGACATGCGAGTGGTGGCCATGCTGGGGAGTGGATGGAGCCCTGGCATAGGAGCCAGGGGACCAAGGCTCCTGGCCCAGCTCTGCTGCTGGCTATAGGCAAGTTCCTTCCCCTCTCTGGGCCTCCATCATATCAGCTGTATAAAGGGAAGATACGTTCTAGCTCCACTGTTATAGAATTCTATGGCAGCCCCAGGTCACACTGAGGAGCCCTGTCTTCCCCCAGTTCCCTCCAGGTACACAGGTGGTCCTGGGGTCACAAGGAGGCCAGCCTGCCCTCTGTCACTGCCCCACCGCCACCAAGCCATATCCTGGGGTCCCTCTGACACTCACCCTACAGTTGCTCAGCTCCTCAGCAGACAGGATGATGGTGCCACATTTCTTCCCCGGGACACCACTGGGAGAGAAGACAAAAGAATGGAGAGCCAGACAAAGACAGAGACATAAGCCTGAACATACCCTGAATCAGCCTTCCTCACCCCGCAACTGCCCCACCGTCCAGCTCTGCCCCAAAGCCCTGAGATGACAGAGTCTCCTAAAATACTGTTGGCAGTGTGGCCTAGGGCACTGCTTCCTGGGCCAGGCCCCCAGGCCTGAAGTTGCCCCACCCACTTCTCCCCAAGAGCCCACCAGGAAGGGTAGTGTCTGCAGTGAAAATCCTAGAATTGGAAAAGCATCCAGACTCACCCGGAGGCTTCCAGACCAGTGGTTCTCAACCTTTCCATCCAAAGACCACTTCTGTGGGCAAAAGACCTTGTGGGCTAGCCACCCCACCCTGCACCCAGCTGACCCCCAGAACCCCAGAACATCCCAGCTCTGAGCTGCTCTGATTTGTTGTCAGAGGGAGAGCAGCAAGAGGGAGTGCAGCAGCCTTTCTCCCATGGCTACTCCTTTGGAACTCCTTGGCGGTCTCTCCAGACTAGAGTGATCCCAGCCAATCAGGTGGCTCCTCCGTAAGGTAGGCAACTAGAATGGGATGTCCACACCCCCAGAGAAACCCCTCCAGGAAGGCAAGTTCCAGGTGGGGCTCTTCCCTTGATCAGGAGGGACCCTCCCCCAGGCACCAGCCCATCCCACTCCATGGAGAGATCAGTGATTGGGACTAACCCAGGGGGGTCCCAGTGCAGCCAGAGGCCACTGAGAGGGAGAAGAAAATGTCAGATTGTCCAATAGCTACATGACTTTTGGGTCATTACTGTATCTATCTGAGCCTCAGTTTCTTCCCCCTTTGAACGGCTACAATTGTAGCATCCGTTTTACTATCTAATACGCACACACAGTGCCTGACACAGAAAAGGCCCTCAAGGAGCATCATTTCCTTCCCTGACCCCTTTCCTTACAATTGTGCAAAGTTGATAAAATCTAGCCCCAGGTGTCTGGCCAGCCTGGGGGCTACCAGCATGCTGTCTGTGGAGCACACTTTGAGAACCACTGATGGAGCTCTTCCATGCATCAGCTCCTGGAGGGAGAGGCTCTCAAACAGAGGAGGCAGAGGAGGCAGGGTGCTGATGAGACTGCCCAAATCTCCCCAATCAGGTGAGCTGCACAGGGGCCACGTCTGAAGGTGGCAGTGCCTGCCAGCTTATCCCCTTAGACTCGGGCCGCTGAGCCAGTGCCCCAGAGTTGCTACCCAGTGCTAGTCTGGCCCTCCCTGGTGGTAAAGATATGATTTGTCCGACCAGGGAGAGAGAATCCTCACACCAGCCTCCCCGGCCCAGTGTCTCTCCATCTGTTTCTCTCTGCCTCTGAGCCCCTCTTCTATTTTTTATCTCTCCTTCTCTCCTCTCTAGCCCCAACCTGCTCAGCCTTCCTTTCTGCCTCCCTCCCTCTGGTCTTTCTGGTCCTCCCTCTGCGTTTCTCCTACTCCAGCTCCCTCTCTAATTGCTGCTTCTCTACTTCCTTTCAAACCAGCATCCACGCCCTTCCTAGGCTGTGAGCATCCCTGGGCCCCTGGAAACCCTTCCCCACATCCAGCTGGTCTGGTAGCCAATCCTTCTGCTGGAACCCCAACTCCAGAGAGCCCTCAGCAAAGACCAGTAGAGCTTTGCTTACTCAGCGAAAATATGCTCATCTGCCAGAGGCAGTTCAGGCTGGTTCCCCAAGCAGATGTCCCTACTCCCTGCTGGGGTGAGGGCCCTCCCTCCAACAAGCAGAGAGAAAGAGATGGAGTAGGGAGGGTCTTCCTTGCCCACATTTGCATGAGGCCAACCCGAAAGCAGATGGTCAGAGTGGGGGTTGGGGGAGTGAGGCTGGCCCACCTCAGCTGGTGGGCAAATGCAAAAAGTGAGGATTTAGCTGAATCTACTCTGTGAGGAGGAGGCTGACATCTAGCAGTGGAAGCAATGGAGGGGAAGTGAGGAAAGGAAATAAAGAGAAGGGAGGGAAAGAGGGAGAGAGAGAAGGTGGAGGGCAAAAGAAACCAGGCTGGGGAAAGAGGAAGGGAAAGAACAGTGCCCAGACCCTGCTGATTACTGGCTCAGCCCCTACCTCTAAGCCCCATTCTGCTCCCTGAAGTCCCATAAGCTACTGGGGCTGGGGATGCTGGAGCTCCATCCTGGGTGAGGAGTGGGGTGAGCTATAGAGTGGCCCAAAGTGCCTGGATCCTTGAGGAGGGAACCAGAACCCTCCTTGTCCCCCTGACTGTGGCTCAACGCACACTGGTGGGAGCAGGGCCTAGCCCCGGCTTCTGAGGCCCCCTCAGCAGAGCTGCCTGGATGTCTGGGGACTCCAGGGCCACAGACGTCTGGTGACCTACCCATTGGACACAGCTGGCATGGGTTTGCCTGTCCTGGAATTCAGGCTGAATGCTCCTATCCTGGGGAGAGAGAGGAAGAGAAAGAGCATGTCATGAGCTGAGTACCCTGTCCTGAGAGGCCAGAGCACTTGGCATCCAGATTCTTGGAGACAGGTTTCTGTTCTGGATCAAACATCAAAATAGGACTACAAGCCACAGTCTGGGGGAAGGAGAGGGTTTCTTCCCAAACTTTGTTGTGAAGCGTTGGGCAACTCTAGCTCTGGGGTTCTCCAAGCATTGTTCCCAGACCAGCAGCGTTAGTGTCCCCTGGGAATGTGTTAGAAATGCAAACTCTCAGGCCCCATTCTGGACCCCCTGGATCAGAAATTCCAGCGGGTGCAGGGAAAGTCTGTATTTAACAAGCTCCCCAGGTGATGCTCATGTCTGCTGTCTCTGAGCCCCAGGGTGTAGGCTATGAAATGGGGAGATGGCTCAGAGAACCATGAGATCACGGAAGCAAACACTTGTCTGGCCCAGAATAGATGCCCAGTAAAAGGGAGCTGTTTGTAGGTCTAGCCAGGTAAACTAGACTTATACATATGAAAACTTCAGTGAGGGGGGTAGATCCCCATCCTTCACCAACATCCAACAGCCCCCAAAACCTTGACATTTTTAGATCCTGCTTTCCCTGTAAGGCTCAGCTCACTCACCATCTCCTACCTGAAGCTTTCCTCAATTCCCCCAGAAGGGGTGTGTCCCTGCATCAAGGGAGGACCAGGCGACAGACAGTAGGCAGTAAACAGACCCAAATGGCTTGTGGGCATTGAAGCTGAAAGGGGCAGATACACACTCACTCCTGGGACCCTGAATTCTATAAGCTTCAGAGACCCCCCAAACCTGGATTTGCTCCCTGTTCTTAATAAATGACAGCTATTATCATTATTTTCTATGAACCCGGAGGAGGAGACCTCTTTGGAGGATGGGAAGCCTTTCTGGGGGCCCTAAGGTTACCACACAGTCACTGGGGGCCAGAGGCAAGGGCCTGGGAAAGAGACCCCACCACCACACACACACACACACACACACACTCACACAACACACCCTGCAGTTACCGATCACGGTGAGGGAACAGCATCCAGGGTGAACCTGGCAGAAGTGGGGGGTGGGGCTGATGCCCAGCCCAGCCTGATCCCCCTTTCCTGACTACCCTGCCCTGTAACCTGCATGCTTGCCCTAGTCTGCCAGCCTCTCTTGCGTGGGCCCTGCTCCTGGGGCTTCCTGAGAAACAGGGGCAAGCAAGGTCACCCCCACCAGGTGGCCAGCCCTGGCTGGTCCCTGAAGCCACCCTCAGGTGCCCTGTGAGAAGCCTTGGGATTCCTCTTCACAGAGCCTGCTCAGAGGAATAACTTTCCTCTAAAAGCACTTAAGGCCCTAGAATGCAGAATGTCAGAAGCAGAGCGAGATACGGAAGGCCTCACCATACCCAGCTCCAGCCCACAGTAAGGTGTAACTATCTGAGGACTATGCTGTGGAAGTAGAACTCTGGGTTAAATCCGGCTCTTCCACTTCCTAGCTGTGTGGCCTTAGGCAAATCTCTTCCCCTCTCCAGGCTTCAGTTTCTTCTATATAATGATAGGGGTGGGTAGTAGGAGGGGACTAGATAGTATATCAGGGCCATCCTAGGAATGTGGGGCTCTAATAACTGAGCCGGGGTCCCTTCCAAAGACCTGGGTTAAAAGCCCTGCAAGAGCAAAGCCCATGGGATCTCCTTATTTCTAGTCATCCATTGGACTGGCTGGCTGCTTTGCCCCTACCCTGAGCCAGCCCTCAGCAGGGGTGGCCAGGAAGTTGGCCCATCACTGGAGCAGCAACCCAGACAGGCCCACTGCCCTATCCACTTACGTGAGGGGCTTTTGCAGACGGCTCCCGGAGGACCCCACAATCTCTCCAAGGGTGCAGAAGGCCTGGCCCAGGAAATCCTGCACATCCAGGGTACAGAAAAGACAAGTGTCACCCACTCTGCTCACAGCCACCCACTGCCCCCATCACCCCACCCCAAGAAGCATGAGGGCCCTGAAATGACAGGGTGTGGCATCAGACACACACTCTGTGTCACAGTGAAGCCTGAGACCGACTCATAGTTTGGCATTTAAGACACTTTGAGATTGCTGGGCAGCCATGGGCAGAACTCACGTGTTTGGATAAATCAGGGCTCTTCGAGTCAACGTCATATCTGCAGGGAACACAGAGAGAAGTGAAGGCAGCTGGGCACCCTGCCCAAACCTGCCCGGGTCCTTGAGATGGGTCAGGACCCCGGCTCCCTGAAAACAGGCTCCAACATAGTGGATATTTGGGAGTGATGGCTGGGAGGCATAAATGGGAGGCTTCAGGGGTGCAGGACTCTTGATTTGGGGTTCTGTCTCTGTTGATTTGGGCAACACCACATGGATGTAAACAGGTGCAAAAATGCATCATGGGGTGAGTTCTTGAAATTTGTTCACTTCACTATATATACATGTTATACCTCATTAAAAATTGAAAAAATAAACTTGCTCTGCCCCGCTGGCTGGTTCACAGGGGGCTGAGCCCCCCTATCCTTCACTGCCTGTTCTCCCATCTTCCCAGGGGAGGCTTGGCTGCCCTTGGAGCTCAAGACCTTTCCTTTGACCTTCCCTGACTGTTTCCCCTCACCAGGCCCGCCAGACCTGCCCTTGAGCCTAGTCACTCAAGGAGGGAACACCTTCACCTCAGCTGGCTGCAGGCAGGCCTACCCTGCAGCTAGGCACCTCCCTTCACCTGGAGCCTGCTCACCTGGAGATTCACCCGCAGCCCCTCCTCCAGCATCCCCCTCACTCACACTGACCTGGCCTCACTGCAGCCCAACAGCCATTCTAGGGGCTGATGACTCCTGCTGAGGGGCAGTCATTCTCAGACCTACCCCTGCCCTGAGCACTTTCTCTAGCAGTCTCCAGGGGAACTCTCCACAGTAGGAGCCCTGTCTGCCCTCAGCCTCAAGGCCCCCATCATGCCCTCCAGACTCACTTCCTTCCACTGCATTCTTCCCTTTGCTCCCTTAGGCCCCAAGCCCCCCTTTTCCCATGCTATTCACATTTCTCTAGGACAGTCCCTTCCAGCCATCCCCCACCCTTTAACAACAACAAAACAACCCCCTCAACAAAACAACCCCCCCACCTGTTCACCAGACCGAAATCCCCCCATCATCTTTAACCTCAGGAGAGGGGCACTGTGCATCTTTGTGGTGACCATGCAGATGCCTTAAGCCTGTCAGCCAGCAGGGTTACCTCTGCAGGAGCGGAGACTGGAAGGGCTTTCCCACAACAAGCTTTGTCAGTGGGGACCTCCCAGTCACCTGGGGAGAAATGGGCTCCCCAGAAGTAGAGCGAGAGTTGCCCCAAGATCTTTTCTCAACCAGCCCCAGAGTCAGGCAGCTTGCTCAGGGCCCTCCCACACTTACCCCAGAGAGATAAGAGAGGTGTTGTTCTCTCCCCCAACCTCCTTCCCACCTCCTGATGAAGGTGGGGCTGGACTTCAGCTGTCGCTTTCATCCCAGGCCCACCCTGGGCGCCCTCTAATACCACAGCTCCCTCCACTTTCCCTGGTAAGGGAGACTCCTGCCCCAACCACAGGTCCCGAAGCACCACCTCCCACCAGTGGTTCTTCAGCACCATTTTCCACTTACAGGTCAAAACGGAGGTTCTGCTTCTCCTCAAAAAAGTAATCCACAATGAATTTGCGCACAAAGTCGGGATTGAGTGTGTTGTCGATGACTTCAGTGCGTCCAAACTGCAAGACAGACGGAGCGTAGACCTCAGGGCCAGGCTGGTGAGGCAGGGAGAACACTGGACTGGGAGCCCCTCAGGCCCGGCCCTGGTAGTAATGGGAGCCATGCCTCTCCTGGCTCCTGGACCCCAGCCCTTAACCCCAGTCAAGGTGAGAGCTCCTCCGTCTGACAAGGGAAACTGTCCATGTAACGGCTCCCCTCTACATCCTCTGCTCTATTCTTCCTATCTCTAGCTAGGATCCACACACATTGGGTGGTTTTGATACCTGGATACCTGAGCAGGCCCTTCATTTTCCCACTTTACTGCCTTTGCCTACACTATGTCCTCTATCTGGCTTCCTTCCTTCCTGACCAGTGGCATGTCCTCCTTTCCTTCAAGGTCTGCTGTTAATGCTGCTTCCTCCAGGAAGCCTTCCTGATTCCTCCAACCAGAGAGTCATACTTCTCTCTGAATCGCCATTGACCTTATGTCCACCTTATGACCACTGTCCTTCTGACTGATTCCACAGTGTATTTATTTGATGCCCCCAACTGTAAATGCAAGGGCAGAGATAGGGATTGTAGAATCTTTTAAAATCCCCACCTCAGGTATTCATGCCCTTGTGTAATCTTCTCCTCTTGAATGTGGGCTGGACCTAGTGACTCACTTGCAATGAGCAGAATAGAACACAAGTCACTTCCAAATTATGTTATAAATGACTATGACTTCTCTCATTCTGGCCACCCTTTCTTGCTCTCTCTCTCTTGCTCACATTGAGGAAGACAACTGCCCTATGGAGAGGCCCATGTGGCAAGGAACTGAGGGCAGCCTCAGGCCAATGGCCAGGGAGGAACCAAAGCTGTCAGCCAACCCTCCTCCCCCAAGAATCTGAATCCTACCAACAACCACTTAGAGTGAACTTGGAAGTCAATCCTGCCCCAGCCAAACCTTGAGATGACTGAGGCCCTGGCTAACACCTCGACTGTAGCCTGGTCAGGCCCTGAGGCAGAAGACCCCACAAACGTGTACCAGATTCATGACCCTGTTTAAGTGGCTAAATTCTAGGCTAATTTATTACTCAGCAATAGATAACTAATACAAGAAACTGAACTTTCTATCTCCTGTAGCATGTACCTCCAGAATTTGCACACATTGCACACTCAATTATTGAATCCCATTAAACTCCCCAAATGACTTAAAGGCAATCACTCCCCATTTCTGGGCATCAGAATCACTGGGAGGGTTTGTGTAAAAGACAGATTGTAAGCCTCACTCCCAGAGATTCTGATTCCATAGGTTCAGGGTGAGGCCTGAGAATCTGCATTTCTAAAAAATCCAGGCAATGCTGACCCTGCTGGTATGGGAACCTCCCTTTGACAACTACTTGGCTAGACTGTAGTATACAGGGCTCTGAGTTCCCCGGGGTTGTCCCAGAGGAGGGCAGTGTGGGCAGGTCATTGATTCCATCCAAGCAGCTCTCTTCTACATGTGTTCAACATATGGAATATTTTTAGGGATATTTTTAAAAAAGGGACAGGGACTAAAAGATCATGTGTAAAAGCATGGTACTGTAAGCTCTGTGAAGTGAGGACCTGATATTCTGCAGAGTAATCACGATAGGCAGATGAGTAATAAATACCTTAAATAGGTTGTTCATCTTTCTTACAAATAAACATTTTTTTGACTTGGGCAGTAATTGTCAAAATAAAAAATCAATCCCACCTACTAGTCCTCCCAGAAAAATGCCAGGACATGGCCTCGTCTCCTGTGTAGTAGGTAAGGCCCTGGTTATCTGGGACTTTGCCTAGCACTCGCTTCTACCCTGAATTCAGTTAGAAACCTGCCAAGAGAACCTCCTACCCAAGGCAGTGTGGGGGAGGGAGGGTCATCCAGGAGCACTAGATTTGGCACCTTCTTGCCCACACCCCCTTATCTAATCAACCTCTTATTCCTGTCACTTCCATCAGCTAAACCTCTCTCCTGTCCCCACCTCCTCTGCCTTGGCCTGGGCCAGGCCTCTCACCTCAACAGCAGCCTGCTAGCAGATCCCCCAAGTGGGCCTGTTTCTAACACTTGACAACTCAGCTCCCCAGGAGTCCTGCCCTCCAACTTGAAGCTCCTCCCCTGTGTTCCCACAATCTTCCTCACACCATCACTGCACTTGTCACATACCCTGATAATGATCTACTGATGAGGCTCTTTCAACCCGCTAGGCTGAGCTTCTCAAGCAGCAGGAACGTCCAAGTTCCCCTCACCCTTGCAGCCCAGGACCCAACATTGCTTAACAGTGTCAGATGCTCGCAGGCATACATGATTATACCACCAGGAACTGTGTTAAACATTTTGTGCTTCATTACTGTATTTCATCCTTTTATGGTAGGCTTCCCCTTTCATAAATGAGAAAACAAAAGCACAGAAAGGCTAAGTAACTTGTCCAGGGGCACACAGCCACTACTTGCTGACTTGAAGTCACAACGGAGGCTCTCTAGTTCAAGCCCTCTAAGCCTCAATGCACACTGCATGTAGGCCCAAGGGCAAGGGTAGCAGAAGTTCTCTGCTCCCAGTGACTGGTAAACACAGTAGATACTGGGGAATTGTTGAATGAAGCAAGGTTGAATGAGGAAGTAGATGAGTGTTTGAGACCCAACTTCATCACAAGCTAATTGTGTGACTTGATCAAAGCCTATTTCCTCATCAGAAGATGGAGAATACTACTACTTGTCCTGCTTCCTTTTTAGATTATCATCCAATTAATTCTACAGTTATTAATTCTACAGTTTTTAAGCACTTATTATAAACCTGGGGGTGTGCTGGGTGCTGAGCTACAAACAAATAGAACATGAACCCTTTACTTATGGACTTTTCTACCATATACAAAAACTACAGTGTAGTATGATAACAGTGCTAACAGAGCTACATACAAAGGTCTACGGCAGGGTCCTCTCCATGGCTTCAGAGTAGAATCACCAGGGAAGTGTTAAAGATATTGAAATGCACAAAAAGCAGATTACTGTGTCCTCTTTCATAGTAGTCCAGGTATCTGATTTCATATAGGATCTGCACTTGTCATTGTCATTGGGCTACTTTACAACTCTGTAATTGTAGAAAGCATAAAGTAATGCGAATGATTCTTATCCAGAGAAATGTAAATGAATTTCATTCAGTGGAATGCAATTATTTGATTATTACCCTATGGTTAATGACCAATTTCACATCTATTTATAAATTCATCTCAGCATTCCTTATTGCCCACATATGTGTGTTGTTTGAATCATCTGAACCAGTTGTAACATTCTACTGATCCCTTCATCAACAAGTGAGTTAAATAAATCTTTGCCACACATTCATTTTATATTTGAATGGGAGCCATGATTTTACTTTTAAAAAAGTGTACCCTTCAACAGCTTTTAAAAATACCCATACCCCACTACAGACCAATTAAATCTAGACCTCAATGGGTGAGGCCTGAACAACTGTTTTTTAAAAGTTTTCTAGATGATTCTAATGCGCAGCTCCACTGATGGGGGATAGAAGATAACTAACATTTACTGAGCTCCTGTTGAATGTTCAATAGATCAAGTGATTTATTATCTCACTGGATTCTCACAAAAAGCTTTTGAGTTATTACCCATTTTACAAGTAAGGAAATTGAGAATCAGAGAGGTTAAGTAACTTGTTTAAGGTCATACAGCTAGGCAGAGCTGGGATCTAAACCCAGGTGTGCCTAACACCAAAGCCCATTGTGTTTTTACTTCATTGGTCAGGATTCCTCAAGCATTATGAAAATTAAATAAAGATGAGGATTACTTCACAAGCATTTATAGACGCCCACTGTGCACAAGGCAATAGGGAGGACACTGAGTTGAATAAGACTGGATTCCTGCCCCACCCTATAAATTTAATAACAATTTTATAATGTATAATTCTTGTTCCAGAAGAGTTCCTGCATTTTCTTCTTCCGTTCTTTCTAATTCTTAATACCTCCTGTCTTCAGGCAAAAAGAAAATCTCTCCTAATGGCTTTTCTGGAGAATATTCTGGATAGACACCCAGGATCAAGAGAATCCTCTGTTAAGGAAGCACCCTATCTTCTCAGTACAGTACCCTCCTCCCTCAAACACCTTAAAAAAAAACCCTTCTGGTAGGACTTTAATAACCCCAGTCCAGAAGGAGCAAGCATTCCTTTGTGTGGCCTCTGTCCCCACCCCATTCCTGGCAGAGATTTCAAGGAAAACACCCGTTAGGGAAAACGACAGCGCTGCTTTTAAAATGGCACTCGAAGCTTCAATAGAGGGGAATTCCCGAGAGATTGATCTCTGCGGGAAAAGAAAACAGAGTTCCCCTGGAAACAGGAGAGGGAGAGAAACTCCAGGGGCCCCCAGAATCTCACCTACAGCAAGAGAAGGGGAAAGAGAGCCAGGCTGGGCAGTGAATTACCAGGACGCAGGGTTATTAATATATGTATATTACAAATAACTGCGAAATCTACAACCCAGGGACTTACTAAAGATGTTTTATAGCCTTCATTACTTGGGTTAATAACAAAGGAAAAAAATGTGAAAACGTGGACTTTAAAAATCCAAGAAGCCACCAGGTTCCTGTCAGGTCCAATTTACACCCCTGTTAATGATGGTAGGAACACAACTGAACTGTTGTTAAAAAGAAATTAATTTGGCTGTATTTCGTTTTACATAGAATTATAGTTTTCATGCCGGAAGGGACTTGGAGTGATGAGGTATTAGCAGGGAGCAGTGGGAAGCAGAGGAAGGCAAGCAATCTGACCGCGGTGAGGCAAATCCTGCTGGGGAAGAAGGGGAGGGTGGTTAACCCCTCATCACCCATAATCCGGAGCTCAGCCAGCCCTGAACACCCAGCTCCCTGGAAGTGCCTATCCCTCGTGCCAGTCCACTGCCAACTCCTTTGCTCACACTTCAGGCTCTGAGGACGGTGGGGGGCTCACAATGCTCACAGTCTGGGGCACAGGCTACCAAATGCAGGTGGGCACAGGTATTCTCCAATCAAC